CCTCTTCCTCTCCCGGCGCTGGATCCGGCCACCGCCCTCGGCGTGCCAGGGCAGGAACCGCCGGGCCCTGCGGCTCCCCCGCCTCGGGGGGCGGCCCCGGGGGCTTCTGCCAGCGGGACCTGGGGGGATCCGGGGGTCAGGGGGCCCGGGACTGCCTGCGGGCCCTGGGGGTGTCTGTGGGAATCAGGAGGATCCGTGGGGGTATCCAGGGGTCTTCAGAGCATCCGTGGAACCTCCTGGCATCCGTGGGTCCCAGGGACATCCGTGGGTCCCAGGGACATCTGTGGGTCCCAGGAGTGTTTGCACATCCTGGGGACTTCCATGGGGCTGTCCGTGGGTCCTGGGGGATGGACATCCAAGGGCCAAAGGGGTGTGTTGGTGGCACCTGCAGGTCCTGGGGGTGTCCACGGGTGCTGGTGGCATCTCCTGACATCCCTGTCCTCTCTCCTCTCCTGCAGTGGTGCTGCTGGACTTTGCCAAGGCCCACGGGGAGCTGGGCTGGCTGACCCAGCCCTACGGAAAAGGGGTGAGCACCCACAGGTCCAGCAGCGGGATGGGGAACGGGGACAGCCATGGAGGAGCTCAGTGGGGATGGGGACATCTCTGGGGACCTTGACAGGAGTGGGGATGAGGATATCCATGGGAATAGAGACATCCGTGGGGACGGGCCTGGGGGCACCCGTGGGAATGGGGACAGGAGCATCCGTAGGGAGGAACCTCCACAGGAACCTGCCCCACGCGTGAGGACCTCCATGGGCATGGGGACAGCGACACTCGTGGGGCTGGAGACCTCCACTGGGGTTGGGATGGGGCCCTCCGTGGGACCAGAACACCCATGGGGATGGATGTGCGGACATCCATGGGGTTGGGGACCTCCGTGGGGATGGGGACAGGGGGCCGTGCCTCAGTTTCCCCCCCATAGCTGCGTTTCTGTCTCCGGGGACAGTGGGACCAGCTGCAGAACGTCCTCAACGACTCCCTGATCTACATGTACTCCGTGTGCAACGTCCTGGAGGGCGAGCAGGAGAACTGGCTCCGCACCAACTGGATCTACCGCGGCGTGGCCCAGCGCATCTTCATCGAGCTGCAGTTCACCGTGCGCGACTGCAACAGCTTCCCCACGGCCGGCGGCGGCTCCTGCAAGGAGACCTTCAACCTCTACTACGCCGAGTCGGACGTGGATTACGGCACCAACTTCCAGAAGCGGCAGTTCAGGAAGATCGACACCATCGCCCCGGACGAGATCACCGTCCAGGAGGATTTTGCCGCCCGCAACGTGAAGCTCAACGTGGAGGTGCGCTCGGTGGGGCCGCTCCGCAGGAAAGGTTTCTACCTGGCCTTCCAGGACCTGGGCGCCTGCGTGGCGCTGCTCTCCGTGCGCGTCTACTACAAGCGGTGTCCGGCCGTGGTGCAGGGCATGGCGCGGTTCCCCGAGACCGTGGCCGGCGCCGACTCGCAGACCCTGGCCGAGGTGCGGGGCTCGTGCGTGGCCGAGGCGGTGGCCGAGCAGGCGCCGGCCCTGCACTGCAACGCCGACGGCGAGTGGCTCGTGCCCATCGGGGAGTGCCTGT